CCTAGGCAATATATTCATCTTAATGGTGGATATTCTCCCAAACATTGATAATTGTAAATTCTCCCATTTTGTCAAATCTGTTGCAATCTGTCGTTTAAGTTTGACATAATTATCCTCCTTCAATGTACTACATCTTGGTGTAATATATATCCCTAGGTGTTTGTGACCTGTATTTCTAAAACTTCTTCCAATTCTTTCTTTCACCTTGCTAGCATATTCTTTGTTAATATCTTTGTTTTATCTTTATTTATTTTTAAACCTGCTACTTTTCCATGTTCTTCTATCTTTTCAATTAATTTAGATGCTGTTTCCAACGGGTCCTCTAGTATAAATACTAGGTTATCTGCAAAGGCTTGCAATTTGTACTCTTCCTTTTTGATTTTCATTCCTTTTATTTCTTTCTCTTCTCTTCTCTTATATTCCTATTCAACACTTCTAATGTTAAGACAAACAACAAGGGCGATAGTGGACAGCCTTGTCTCGTCCCTTTTGTTATGTCTATCTGTTCTGTTAAATCTCCGTTTATCATGATCTTTGCAGTCTGCTTATGATGTATTGTTTCAATGGCTTGAATAAATTTTTGGCCAAAGCCCAATTTGTACCAAAAGCAAAGTAAATGCTTTTAATGAATAATATAGTGTTAACAATTTAAATATTAATGATGGTGATTCCTTTTTCACAGTAAGCATCTCAGAGTTCAAATTCATCTCAACAAAATTTATATGAGAACTACTTTGTTTTTGAATTACTATGATCATAGTTTTGAAATTATTATGTTTATCACCTTTGTTGTAATTATAAAAGTGTTGGGTATTATAATTGGAGCAAAAACTTTGTTTATAATATATTCATATTTTAATATATTTTAGTATATTAAAATATTTTTCAGTTATTCAGAAGAGTTATATTCTTACCTCTTGACCATAGATAATGAAACTGTACATGAAGAGACCTTAAAGAAGAAACAAACCTACTTTATACATGTGCAAAAGCCTGTATGCCATTTTGTGTATGTGTAAAACAGCAAAAAAAAAAAAAAAAAAAATCCATGGATACCTGAAAGTCCTTACTGTATATACCAGCATCTGCTATATTTTTAGCAATTGTAGATATGCAAATCTATGGGAAATGGAACCACAGATGACCAGGGTGTACTTGCTTTGCTTTTTAACAAGTAAGTCATTTTTGTTCCTTGTTTAATTTCAAAAATTCAAGATTTGTTCTATATTTTCACAGGCGTAAGTTCTGTTGAAATTGTGGTCCAACATGGTTTAGCTACTCCAGAAGGTCTTACTGTGGACTGGATTGCTGAAAATATATATTGGATAGACAGCAATCTGGATCAAATTGAAGTGGCTAAATTAGATGGTACACTGAGGACAACACTAATAGCAGGTGCAATGGAACATCCTAGAGCTATTGCTTTGGATCCCAGATATGGGTAATTATTCTTTATGGTTTCTTACAATCATTTTTTTTTAATTATGGTGAGTTGTTTCTTAATGTTTCATTGCTTTAATATAAAAAAGAGGAGGGAAAAAGACATAGGAAAAAAACAGCAGAAGAAAAGGAAAACAACCAAAACTTATTTCAAAGAAAATCACCCAATTTTTAAATACAAAGTTAAACCTGGATGATACAAAATAATAGTGATCAGTCTTTTTATTACCTTAATAGAAGCATTTATCAATCCAAGATTATAAATCTGGGGCTGCACTCTTTCCACATTGAAGGTCTTGGTCGGTCTCTCTCTCTCTCTCTCTCTCTCCCTCACTATTTCCCAAATTTTAAAAAATCATAATTATTTATATTGTGATAAATTGCATTTTTTTTAGTATATAATTCAAAGGTACATTTATATTTTTAAACTAAATTGATTTTTTTAACATATTAACAAACAAGTGGATATTAAAACAAAATGGGGTAATTGTGGTACAAGCTTATATCAAATGAGTAAATGTTTTTTCACCCATTTTACCATTCCAGTGCAGTATGGTGAGGATAACAGGCAAATATTTTAAAACATTTTGAGGTGTTTGATAAATGTGAAAGAAAATTTGTTATTGGATAAGTTTCATCTTAAGTTCCTAAGAAATACACACATTCTTTTAACCCTTAATCACTGATTTGTTAATATCGAATATTTGAACTCTTTATTCCAGAATTCTTGCAGATTACTAATATCCACATTAGTGATACTCTTCAATTATTTATTTAAAAAACCAGACACATGGAATCATTCAAAATACATTCTAATACTGACAATCACTTGGGAGTATTAGATGCTGTTAATGTAAATTCAAGAGATGAATATGAATTGAATATACTGACATTTAACAAATGTAGACAATCCAAATTCCTCTGTAATAACTCATATAGCTTGAAAAATTGATTGGCAGTAAACTTATCTAAATAGCCCTTCTTGTTCATGACTTACACACAGTTACAGAGAAAAGGATTGATATGGAATTTTCGAGGTGGATTTGTACAAAAGGATACATTTGTAATATGAAAAGGGTCAAAATTATATTTCATCCCAGCATGTTGCAAATGTGCCATGCAGTCTTTAAAGGCAGAAACACAAAGCAACACAAAACACAATAACCAATATTATCATGTTTCTAACTGGGCACATAGTTATTTGTTTATTTATTCATTCATGCATTCATATATGTTCCATAGAAAAACTGAAGTCAACATACATGGTCATCGGTAAAGCTGAAAGTCAGGAAAATTTAAAACCTGACAGCCATAATTTACAATTAATAACAGCACTAGTTATTTTCCTTTACAGTAAATACCTTATATATGTTTAATGCAGCATGTTAGTGAAGTTACATATCTTATTTAATCAGGAAAATTAGAAGGTGGAGCTAGCTGGAGTGTTTATGTCTGGTTCTCCCTTCTGCCTTTTTTTACAGCTACACAAAACTGAGAGATTTCTTGAGTCCTTTGCACTATATAAGAAGAAATTAGGTATTGGTTTCCATGGGAAATTAAGTAGTCAATTTCTAAGATGAACTACTTTTAAAGTCAAGCTATCCATATTTTAGATTTACAACATGATCCATATTCAAAACTAATTACCAAAGATGATGTAATTACCAGTCCATTTACCAGTAATTTGCATATAATAATATGACAATTGTGTTCTGTGTATATACTGAGTTAATATATAGATTATGACTGAATATTGTTTACATTTAACAGTAGAATATAAAATATTGGTCCCTTTTTAACAAGTAATATTGGTAAAGAGAAATATAGAGTGTCTGAACCAGACTGAGACAGCTACAGTTTCTTTTGTTGAACATATTGTCAACACATTGTTTATTTATTATATTTAGTGGATTTATATAGGTGGCTATGGGTGACTCGCAATATATATTTAAAAAAATATTCAAAAGATATAAAACCCATAGCAGCTGGAAAAAAAATTACAAAGCCACAATCCAGCACTCAACCTAATCAAGCAATAGCCTTTGTCGCACAACAGGGGTCTCAGGCTCAAGCACAGAGCCATGTCTTCAGAGCCTTATGGAAGGCCAACAGGGATGGGGCTAATCTGATCTCTGGAGGGATGGTATTTCAGAGGTGCCTCAACAGAAAAGTCTCCCTTCCTGGGACCCGCAAGCCAATACTCCTTAGCTGACAGGACCCAGAACACGTCCCCTCCTGTCAGACTGGATGGGATAGGTAGAAACAGCCACAAGCCATATCTTTAATGGTGGCAACCAGCACCTTGAATTGTACCCAGAAGCACACTGGTAGCCAATGCAGCTCGAGAATATCAATCAATCAATCAATCAGTCAATCAAATCTTTATTACAGTCAAAGACCAAAATAATGAGAATATCCAATTCTCCCCAATTATTTCTGCTATTAGTATGGAGTGGAGTGTATTTTCATCAGTTAATATTGGGAGACTTCCTTGTCTACTGATGTTTTTGCATTTTCATTGCATTTCCTTTGGAATATCTATCTTTTCTGGATTCAGTGTAGTTCACACTGAGTTTTTTACTATATCCAGGCAACAGTTAAAATAGTTTCTGGCATCATCTGAAAAAGATACATGGAGCTCAGTATTATTGGTGTATGATGAAAGGGAGCTACTAAATGAGATAATATCTCATAGCAGCTTTGCCTAAATGGTAAAAAGCATACGAAGATGATCAAAGCCTAAAGAATGCCAAAGACAAAACTGCTGAAGAGTGATCCCTGAATACACCTTTTCAAAACATTCAGAGCACTTTCACATGGTACTATTTCCACTCCCCAAACCCTCTAAACCATTATGAACCATTCATACAATCACCTTCACTCCTGCAGACCTCAGAACACAGAACAGGGTGGAAATATTGTGAGCCAATTAGTGCTACCCTTCAAAGAATGCAGGGAAAGTCATTCAATCAATTTTTTCCCCCTCAAACTGCTAGAACAAATAATTCTTCATATATATATATAAACCCTCCATGCAAAAAGGAAATAAATTGCTAGCACTACATCCACATTTTCAGTGCATATTATATGCTTTTGTTTGGTCACTTTTTAAACTTCTTTTTGTAATGGATAGAGCTGCTAAGCTGTCAGTTTACCTGTATTGAAAATTCTGTTGAGAGCTATGAAAATGGCAATTTTGCAACCAGAGACTTTTCTGAAGGCTCTGTGGTTGTAGGCTACAGTAGCAGCTGAGATACAGGAGAAGTAGGGGTGGTACATCTGAAGTAAATGTACCAGAAATAGAATGATGGTTACCAGTATCAGAGATGGGTAGAGATGATCCTGGCACAACCACCATTTCCTCATATACATAAACATACATAAAGGAAAGAAATTGTCAACACTCCCTACTCATTTCACCACTGGGGGTAAAGCAGTCTTACCCTTTACATACCCCACTGCTGAAGAGAAGCAAGAGTCTTATCAATTTTACCTTGTTCCCTTCACCTGAGCAATTCTGTACAATGGGACATGTTGCAAGGATCCGCAAAAGTCAAAATAGACCAGATCAGTCCATGCTGAATTTTAAGTTGCTGTCAGCAGGGAGCTGTGCATCTTGAATTAGCCAGTTCTGTGCTAAGACATCCGAGTTGTTCCTGTGAAGTGGTACCCGTGATGTCAGCAAGTAATATTTCCCCTTTCAGGACATATGAACAGAATGCAATGACTGCTGAAGGCTGGGATATGGGAAACAAGGTGAGGTAACAGTTCCCTCCAATAGGAAAAAAAGACCATCAAGCTTCACTGCATTTTTTTTTTCCTGAATTGCATTATACTGGACACATATGACAGCATAGCAACACAAAGCTTTGGAACTAGCTTTGGAGAAGTACAAACTACTGGAACAAACTGGAACCTTTCTTAATTTTACACTGGACAAGTTTGTGTATATAGAAAGGTGTCCTACTTAACCAGCAGAAATACATTCCACTTGGCATAGATAATCCACAATGGCTATTTCACTCACCAAACTTAAATAAACCTGACTGAAATGTGTCCAGATAATCAATTGTACTTTTCCTTGGGGGGGGGGGACTTAAAACCCTGGATTAGCTAATTATTATCAAAGATAGTGGGTGCTGCTGCTTCTTTTTAAATAACAATCAAGATCTGAACACAATGCCCTTTATAAAAGGCAGAACGTGGACTTCTTTCCTGGAGAAATTTATATTTTCCACCAGCCAATCCATCACCCTTCCTCTGGCAGCTTTTATGAGCTGGGAGTGAATGGGTCTAAAAAGCAAGTAATTAGCCCCACTTCTACAAGGCAAAACAAACTGAAACTCATCTGTAAGCACTGGAGACATGGTTTAAGTAAGCATTCACTAAAATTACTTTTTAACCTAGAGTTCAAGTAGGAGAACATGCAACTAATATTCTCAGCAGTATTTTGCAAGCTACTCACAGCAAACTTCAGATAGTTCCTTTTAACTACACTACAGAAGAAGATGTAATAGCCAGTAAATCACCTGAAATAACTCCACTGGATGACTTGTGCTAATGTAATGGAAGCAGAGAAACAAGACTTCTTCATTGCCAAAGAGTAGGTCTAACGGGGACTTTAACACATGCCTATTTAGATTCAGATTAAGTTTTTTCTCCAGTGTTGTTTAGTTTATGGTGTTTAATTAAAGTTCCTCATTAAGAGGCTAGCATTCTGTCTCTCAGCAGAGGACTCTAAGGAATAATCTTCACAAATGCCATGGTCATTCCATAAATCAATTATGATAATAAATTCTAGTTGTAGAAAAATCCCTCGATATATTTAAGAATTGTTGGGATTGACCAATTTAGTACTATCCCTGCAGAAGTTAAAGGAACCTCTAAATATAAAACAAAATATCAATGTCTCCATAATAGTGGTGTTTTTCTTCAAATTGTATTGCTTTCAGATTAGCTTTAAACTGTTTTTAATTATTATTAAACTGAATTACTGATATAAAGATATATTTGCGATCAGTATAGTTTCACTGTGCCAGAAAATTATGGAAATAAAATTGTTAGCAAAATAACAATTTTGCCCATGGCGGGGGGTGGGGGGTGGGGAAGACACATAGGATATATATCCTATCTTTACTTACTTACTTACTTATTTATTTAAAAAGATGGTTACCCATCTTGTGAAACACAACTCTGGGCTAACAGTAGTTAATAATAGTGCTTCTTTCTAAACTATTATTATTTTATTTGCTCCTCTTATTAATATGTCTCTCTTTGTATCATTCAGAATTCTGTTTTGGACAGACTGGGATGCTAATTTTCCTCGCATTGAATCTGCTTCCATGAGTGGAGCAGGAAGAAAGATCATATATAAAGACATGGATAGTGGAGCATGGCCTAATGGTCTTACAGTTGATCATTTTGAAAAACGAATAGTTTGGACAGATGCTAGGTAAAATGTGTGTGTGTGTGTGTGTGTATTTCTCTTATAATGTATTTTTGGAATACATTACAGGAGGCATAAAATATTGTTTGGTTCATTTTTTAATAAATGCCTAAAAATTGTAATTGCCACAATATGTAAGTCAGAAAGTTATATAAGTTTCTTAAATCATTGTGTTGTAGATCTTTGAACAACAACAAAAATGCATATATTGGGGGAAATGCACATGAAAATGTGTGCATAGTTTATGTAGAATTTAAGTCTGCAAAATGATGAGGAAAAAGATTAAAAAGATTTTAAAAAGTATAACCACCTAAAATAAAACAATCATGTTTGATATTCCTGAAAAAGATTGATCCAAATATTTTATTTCCCTGAAAAATGAGAAGAACAACATTGATTTAAAAAAGGAGCAAGAACTGTTGATTGCCATGGAAAGTAGGGGGAAAAGTTGGATACTTAAGGAAAAATTGGAATTCATAAAAAGTGGTTCTGGATTTAATTATGTTTTTGTTTTTATTTCTTTAAAATATTAAAACCATTCCATTCAAAGGATCTCATGGCTCACAATCTAATAAAATGGGATTTAAATGCTAAAAGCAAATAAAATAATAAACTGATTTGCAGCAGAAAAAGAAATTTAATGACAGAGAAGCATTTAAGTGACAAAAAGGCTTCATCAGGCTGTGGATGCTAAGTCAAATTCAAATTCAAATTATTCAAATTACAAATTATTTTAAATACTTGTACAAAATTGAACACCAGTACTAAATTAAAAAGAAAAAAGAATGAATCTGAAGCAATAATGAGAAGAAGGTATCAACCGACTTCTGCTAGCCATACCTGTTGCTGGAAACATGGCAGCCTTTGTAGTGGTTGTCCATGTTTTGTCTTGCAGAAGGAAGATTGTAATTTCTTGATCAGAGAGATAACTAAAATTTCTGATAGTTGGATTTATGAGTGCTAGTGCTAGACACCATTAGTGGTACAATGGGTAGTGCAACAGTACATGGACTACTGACTTAACCTTTGTATCTGAGCAAACATACATATGATTATTGCATGGGAGACTAGTATATTGCATTATAGTCCCATAATAGGCAGTGTGCCAATTCAAGCCAAGGTTAAAAAATCTACTATGCGCAGTAGAACATGAAAAATGTTATACAGGTGGCTAGGAGTTGTCCTTGGAGAGCCTACAATTACACCATAATCAGGGTGGGTGATTTTAGCCCTGCCCTTTTATAGGTCTAAATCCCAAATCCTGTGTTTAAGTTTGATTAAAGCTTTATCTGGGCCAACTGACAATATTGCAAGGAATGAGAGGCTACAATATACCAGTAAGAATCAATTTGCCTCCTCAGGGATGAGGAAAGCCTACCCAGTAGGGTGAGGTGAACCAGAAGCTCTCCCCAAAAGATTTGTTTCAGCCAAAATCTGAGAAAGCGAAGTCTTAGGTGGGCCCCAAGACAAATGCAACCAAACTCCAACCAAACAAGGGCATTTGAAACTAAGCAAGGGACATGAAGTATAGCTTTCAGAAACTTAGACTGAACAGCTTCTAAAATAAGGGCATCCTTATAAACACAAAGTTGTGCACCAGATAGCAACAACCCAGAATCTTTGCTTTATATAATTGTATTGCTGCAGGAACGTAATCATTGCCTTGATAACTAGTATAGTATTGGATTGTGTGAGAAACAGTTGATTATTCCAGTGGGTAGGAGTTGGAAGTGGGTGCCTAGATATTTGTAGTTCTTAATCTGATCAGTTGGTCTTTTGTTATATTCCTGGTTTACAGTGGACTTGTGCATTCTAGAGAAAACCAGAACCTTAGTTTTTTGGGTAATGAATTTTAAGAAATTTCCCAGAACAGTAGGAGACTAATGCAGGTAGGCATCTATGAAGGCCTACTTAAAATAGGATGGTGGGCAAGTTTTGGAGGATAAAATTCTAATTTAGAAAGGGCTGCAAAGATGTCATTTATATAGAACAATAAAAGAGCAAGAATATAGCCCTATTTGACTCCTCTGAGGATAGGGAGGTGATGGTTACATCACCATTACAACTGCCTCTAAGATGCATTATAGTATATTGATGAACAAAATTATCAACCTGAGAAAATGATGATCAATGGAAGTTGTGATTAATTTCCTCCATACTGTCTCATAAGGAATTAAGACTATGACTGCTCTTAAATCAATAAAGGCAACATAAAGGGTGCCTTTGATAAGGTTAGAGTATTTTTCAACTAAATGTGTAAAATTGCACATTGATCCATGGTGGAATATCCTGATCTAAAACATGCTCATTTGGAAGCCAAGATATTCTCCAAATACATCCAATCTAAAAAATTGTGATATAGAAATTAGAGTTTTCTAATTATTAACAATAAACCGAGTAGGTGGTAGTTAGCAGAATTTTGCCTATCATCTTTCTTGTATATTGGGAAAGTGATACAGTTAAGTCACTCTTTGGGGAGCAATGAAAGAGTTATTAATGGCAGTAAAAAGGGGGCTAAAACATCAGAATTTATTTTCAGTAAAAAGCTTCTGAGGGAGAAAAAGCAAAACTACTCATTAGTGAAATGGAGAAGGCTCCAACAAGCAGTAACAAATAAGGACAATCATCTGTTCTGGCATCTTGTTTCTCACTTTTCAGATAAACCTAACTCCAGTGCCAGTGATTTAATCTCTTCAGAGTCCAGAACCAGATATTTTGTTTGACAACTTCTCCAGTGGTCCCTTTGGTGATGATTTTCTTGGGCCCCCTTTATCTGATCTGTACTACTAGTTCAGTGAATTAGGGAGGTGTCTGTCTGAGCTGCTTCTGAACATTATCAGGAACATTCTTGACTTAAAAATGCTTTAGCCCCTGTTTCCTAGGTAACACAGCCTGCATATTTCCATCAAGATTATATTTCTTATTCTCTACAGGGTGCAATCTTGACAAAAATCAGAGAACTACCTAATTCCCAGACCAATACCTAGATTGGTAGAGCTGAGTGTCATGATCTCTGTCAAACTTGTCCATCCAAGTTTTATAATATGCGCCAGGCTGGTCCTCTCATGTTTCATCTACTGTCAAATGGGTGGCAACTGCCATGTTACAGACCAGATGGGAATTTGAAAATAGCTCCTGAGATGATAAGACAGACTTGTCTGGCAAATCCAGTCTTGAGAGATGAAGGAAGGTCTAAAACCTGGGATAGCTTTCAACCATCTAACCCACCTTAGTGCTGTACCTCTCCCTGCCAAAAATTACTTCAGTAGGGGAACTCTATTTTCTCTGTCTATCCTTTTCTGCAAAACAGACTGGAACCAGCATCCATACCTGTATATTTAAGAATGGTTTTACCAGGCTCTGGTAAAACAATCAATTTCATGATAAAGTAGCAATAAACACACACAGACACAAACACAACTATGCAACCAAAACAAAATAACCAGTGCAGCATGCCCTTTACATCCTTAAAGATTCTCAAAAGGTTTAGTGTCTTTGGTATGGCCCTTTTGGAGTGACCTTGGCAGGGATTCCTTTAACCCCCCCCCCCCCCCCTCCAAGGCAGTAATCCCTTTAAGAGCTCTGATCCCAATAAGAATAGCAGGATCAATAGAAGGATAGTAGAAAACACCAAATCCATATACAAAAGATAATTTCTTTTCTGCTGCAGTCTACATACATTTAAATTAATGTCTATAAGAATGCATTCAAAATGATTAACCATATTTATTTTTATAAGTTATACAGTACTATTTTTGCTGCTTTACAACATGATTCCACACAAAAGCTAGAATCAAGAATTAAGCAGAAGCAAAATAAAGTATACATTTATACATTTATTAAAATTGACAGCTCACTTTTCATTAAAATTGACCTAAAATTGGTTCAGTTGAACAAGTCTATAAAACCAGACAAAACTACAACATTGAGTATCATTACTGTAACAGTAATAAAAGCAATATAATAAACAGCACGTAGATCATAGTGAATGTTTGTCACTTTCAAGAAGGAATCCTGTTTGATCTTAGTTGTTGGGAAGATACATAAGAGATAAAACAAATCCATCAGATATCCAGGTTCCAAACTATACAGGGCTTTATATGTCAGTTCAAGTCTGCTGAATTTTGCTTGGTAGCATAGTAGCAACCACTGCAACTCCTTTCAAACAGGTCTAATGTTTTTGCAATATGCTTATATTTATCTATCTATTTAATCAATTCATATGGCTGCCCATTCACAAGAATAACTCTGGGTGGTCAGCATGACATTAAAAACAATAGTCCACAAACAGAAAAATCAAAATTAAACATACAATCCAGCCAACAAACCATACTGTACCATCTCCCAAGATGGCAGTATCTAACATCCCAACCTGAATGCCCAAGGGGGAAAAAAAACCCACAAGTTTTTAATACCTTACAAAAGGCTATTGGGGTCAGGCCAATCGATTCTTGGGGGGATTCTTGGACTTTCCATAGGTACAGCCAGATGACATTGACCAGAGAAGTGACCTTTTAGTAATTTAGCTGAAGCATTTTGCTCTAGCTGGATCTTCCAAATCAAGGATTCCCAAACTCCAGCTCACTGACCTTCATGAAATTTGAGATTGTTCATTGATCCCCAAACATTTATTATATAAAAATAATTTAATAAATCAACTAATAGTACTACAAATAATAATAACAGCATTTATCCCTTGGATAGTCCTATTGACCCTTGGGGGTCAATATTGACTGCTTAGGGAGAACTTTGTTCCAAATCAGCCTACTATTTATAGATACTATAAGCACATAATTACAACACAGAAAGTCACTTTTCAGATATTTAGCACATGCGTTTAGGTTTTGTCTGACTGATTCGAAGTAGCTTTGCAGGTTTTCAGATTAAGGTCTTCTAATTGCTGGTTGCAGAGGTAAGGATTGAACCTTGGACTTTTTGCCTGTAAATCAGATAGTACGGCTCTTTAAAAAAATTAAAAATAAAGTAACTTTATGTATTTGTTTAATTTTCTAATAAATAGTTAGATCACAGCTGCATTAAGCACAATTTCAAGAGTGCATTTCGGCTATTTTTCAGGTCAGATGCTATTTATTCAGCACTGTATGATGGAACTGGCATGATTGAAATTATACGAGGGCATGAATATCTTTCTCACCCCTTTGCTGTCTCTTTGTTTGGGAGTGAAGTGTATTGGACAGACTGGAGGACAAACACGTTATCTAAAGCAAATAAATGGACAGGTCAAAATGTTAGTGTGATACAAAAAACCAGTGCACAACCTTTTGATCTTCAGATTTATCATCCAAGTCGTCAACCCCAAGGTAAAGTAATAATTTTAATGATAGTGTTAGTTGCAGCCTTCGTATTCATATTCATCCTCAGTGTTAAGTAGCAGAATATGAATAGGAATATTTGTGTGTATATGTGAGAAAGAATGTGCATGTAACTGAATGAGAAATCTGACCTTCTATATTTATCAATATTTTTCTGAATGTCAGTTTATATTTTCTGTTCTATGGTGCTTATACAGATAAAATGACATTTTTTTAACACTGTGGTTCCCTAATTGACATTTTAAAACATAGTAATATAAAAATCACTAAACAAAGCATAAACACCGAATTAATTGTCTTTTGCATATGGTTCTGGGAAGAATTACCAGCCATTAGTTGTTAAGGAGATGCTTTAATTTGGGTCAGGATCATAATAAGTATTGTGTTTGTGTATCACACACTACACTGATTTTGGAACCATTCTGTGAGTTTGTTATTTTAATAAATATTCTAAGGTTAAATATTAACAGCTGCCCCCCCCCCCAATCTCATGATGAGTTAGATCTAGGATTGTAGGAAAATATAATCTGACTTTGAAGGGTACTGATGGGGGAAATTGCAAAGATCTTTCTATTTTTTTCACCCTGCTGCTGGTTTTATCATAGTTTCATTACTGCAAAGGTATATCTTAACATTTTCACTTGAATTACCAAAGGTAATAGGTAGTATATTATATGTTCTTCAATCAAGTATTTAGGACTGTGTGGACATCAGTAGAAATCACTCTTCATTAAAACTCAAGATTATTCATCTTTATCTGCTGTTCTATACATTTATATTATGCACACAAACATTCACCATAGTGAAAGTACATACTATGCTCAGTATATAATGTTATACTTCAGAAATCCTTTTTGTGTGACTTGATTTCATTTTTTTTGTTTTTTCAGCTATAAAAAAGAAAAATAGAATGGCAACATATGCTAAAAAATAAAGCCCTGAACTGGGGGGGGGGGGGGGGGGGAAGTATTGAGCTCAATACTTCAGTTTCAGGAATCTAAGACGGTGCTTAATAGAAATAACTAGTTTATGTCTCTGGTTAAATACAATGTATCCATTAGACTAAATTTCATTTACTCTCTGTGTCAAATAGATTAGGTTTATATCATTATAAATATTCAGTTTTTAGTTGTGAGTTAATTCCATCTAAGTTTTGAAAACCACAAGAAAAATCAGTATTTATTTTTAGAGAAATCTTTTTTACAAGCAATAAAATTAATGATATATTTCTCTTATAACTGTATTTGTTTTCATCAGTTTTGCAATCATTAGACCAGAAATCCTACAAATAACATAATATAAACATATAACACATTACAGGTATGTGTGCTTAAGTATCCTCCATTATGCTATAATCAGTGGTAAAGTACAGAACAACTTAAATGTGTCTCTATCCTATTACATTTCTCTTAATCTTAGTTGTAGTAGCTGCAATGGGCCTTTCATTGCTAAACATTAAACAAGTTATGTAAACATAACTTGTTTAATGTTTAGCAATGAAAGGCCCATTGTTTAATTTTTAGATAAATTTGGTCATCCTATGAGATAACTTCTATTTGAGCATTCAAGAGGTATATAATTTACTCTTTCTTTCTTTCTTTCTTTCTTTCTTTCTTTCTTTCTTTCTTTCTTTCTTTCTTTCTTTCTTTCTTTCTTTCTTTCTCAATCGATCAATCAATCAATCAATCAATCAGATTTATATAGCTGCCCATCTCACAAACATGACTCTGAGTGGTGTACAATAAGCAGTCAGTTAAAACAATTAAACAACAATTAAAAACAGATACTAATACAAATAAAAATAAAATAAAACCATGGGAAAATGGACCAATATCATATATATAGTGTAATCATCTTGCAGGCTCTCCATTTCTCTGGGATCCTCAAGTTTGTTTGTTTTCATCAGTTTTGCAGTCCTTGGAAAAAACAAGTTTTCGAGGATTTCCTAAATGCCAGGAGGATAGGGGCTAATCTCACCTTGGGAGAATGATGTTCCAAAGGGCAGGTATCATGGCAGAAAAGGCCTACCTTCTGAGTCCTATCAGATGAAACTCTTTAGTAGGCAGGACCCGTAAGATGCCCCTCCTACTATTCTTGATAAGGCAGTCCCTCAAATAACCTGGTCTCATCTCATGCAAGGTTTTAAAGGTAAAAACCAGCACCTTGAATTGAACCCAGAAGCCAACTAGCAACCAATGTAGCTCACAGAGCAGAGGTGTAATGTGCCCCTCCTGCTGGACCTGATGAGATGACTAGATGTGACTGGGAAGAGGCGGTCTCTCAAATGACCTGGTCCCATCTCACGTAGGGCTTTAAAGGTCAATAATAGCACCTTGAATTGAACCTGGAAGCAAATTGGCAACCAGTGCAGCTTGCAGAGCAGAGATGTAATGTGTGCCATTCTAGGAGCACAGATAACTGCTTGTGCTGCTGCATTTTGCACCAGTTGATACTTCTGAATAATCTTCAAGGGCAGATCATATAGAGCACATTACAATAGTCCATTCAGGAGGTGGCCAGGTTATGAGTATCTATGAGCAGAGCCTCATGATCCAGGTATGGGCACATCTGGTGTACAACACAAAGATGTGCAAAGGCCTTCCTAGCCACGATTTGAGCAGGAGTTATGAGTGCAGAAGGACCCCCAGATTATGCACTGGGTCTATTTGGGGCAGTGCCACCCCATCCAGTGCCAAAGATCATAAAACGTCATGGCCCAGGGAATGAATCAGCACTTATTGACCAGTTTCAGAAAAGGTTGGCAGACGAAATTCTGGATGAGCTAGCAAGAACTGAATGTCCAGACACGATGCAGGAATTAGTTCAGCTGTGCCTTGGAATAGATGGGCATTTACAACAGTGAAAGGCTAGAGTCTGAGCTAATAAGCATTTTGACAAGCCTACATGTAGCATCTCTGCCCATGCCTAGCCTTGAGAAAACTGCTACAGAAGAACCCATGCAAGTTGGAAGTGCCCATCCCTGACTGATGGAAGCAGAAAAGGCATGGAAGGGTAGAGAGGGGCTGTGTTTGTATTGTGGGGGCTAGGGACATGCCCTGCCAAGAAACTGAACTCAGCCCTCTCAGGAAACAGAACACACTCAGTTTAGGCAGACTGCTAAACCAGGGACAAATTCTGGCAGCACAAGCCCAAACCCCATGTACCACTCCATCCAAGCAATGTTGGTTTCATTGAAATTACCAGGGAAGCCTATCTTGGAAACTCAAGCCATGGTTGATTCTGCAGCTACCAATAATTTTATGAATCTTAAATTTGCTGAGGACCAGGGGAATCAAGCATCATGTTCAACCAGCATTGATGGCCGCACTTTGTCATCCATGCCTGTGACTTGGACAACATGGAAATTACAGATGCAGCTGGAGACTCACTATGAAGAGGTTGAATTTGTTTAGCCTCTGCACCTCAATATCCCATTGTCTTGGGTTTGGAATGGCTACAGGCTCATGACCCTCACATTATCTGGTCTACTGGTACCATAATGTTTGCTTCCCCTTGTTGCAACAACCACCTGGTGACCATTCCTGCAACCTTAGTTGCCAAACAAGAGGGAGAGATGCTTTGTGATCTTCCATTTAAGTACCAAGACTTCGCAGACATATTCAGTGAAGGGGAAGCTGATCAGTTAACACCTCACTGACCATATGACTGCCCTATTGATCTGGTACCCGGGGCCAAGATCCCAGTTGGGTGTCTCTACTCCCTCCCAGACCTGAGTTGACAGCCTTGAGGGATTTAATTGATAAAAATCTGAAAAGAGGCTTTATTTGACCCTCGTCCTTTCCTGCAGTGAGTCCTATATTATTTGTAAAAAATAAATCAGGAGAATTTAGGCCCTGCAATGATTACTGGCAACTGAACCAGTTTACCGTACATAATCGTTATCCATTGCCACTCATCTTGGAACTATTAGAATACCTCCACAATGCTAAGGTGTTTACCAAATTAGATCTGAGGAGCATACAATTTAGTGCACATAAGAAAGGGAGATTAATGGAAGACAGTGTTTCACACTTGATATGGGCATTTCAAATATACAGTCATGCCTTTCAGATTGACTAATTATCCACAGTCTTCCAGCATTTCATAAATGATATCTTACAAGATCTCCTGGATCATTATGTCATTTTTTATCCTGATGACATCTTGATTTTTTCAAGTTCCATTGCAGAACATGAACAACAGGTAGGAACTGTATTACAGAGACTCCGGAAAAATCGCTTGTTTGTCAAGCTCGCCAAGTATGAATTTGAGAAGACCACTGTAGACTTTCTCGGCCATCACATTTCTTCAACTGGTATTGCCATGGAACCTGGTAAGGTAGATGCTATCTTGTCTTGGCAGTCTCCATGCAAAGTCAAGGACATACAATGCCTGCTGGGCTTTACAACCTATTACCAGTCTTTTATCCCTCAGTTTGCTAAATTCACAGCAAAATTAACCTCTGGAAGCAGGTTCCCTTCCAATGGGATGAGAGAGATTTTGAAGCTTTAAAGTTTGCATTTGGCTCTCAGCCCATTCTTTGGCACCCAGATCCCACAAGGCCATTTGTAATAGAGACTGATGCCTCTGATGTAGCCTTGGGAGTGGTGTTGCTCCAGGCAGACTGGTTCTCCTCCATTCTGTTTTCCTGTGGGTTCTACTGTCAGAAACTGAACACAGCCAAGAAAAACTATACCATCTGGGATAAGGAACTGCTAGCAATTAAAGCCACCTTTGAAACCTGACAACATTTGCTAGAAGGGGCCAAACCACAAGTGGAAGTTTTTACTGACCACTGGCACCTTGAACATCTCCAGATTACCAGGAAATTGAATCAAAGACAAATCCAGTAGTTGTCTTTTCTTGCTTCAACTTCTGAATAATTTAAATTCCCAGCAGCCATAATGTGCCAGTGCCCTTTCCAGGAAACCTGAATATGAACACTGACACTGACTCCTAGCCAGCCACTGTTATACCTCCAGAAAAGT